TTCGCGACGGCGACGCTTCTATCGCGCCTTTGACGCGATCGATGCAGCACAAAACATGCGCATCGATCACGCCGAACACGCGACCGAAGCGCTGCCGTCACGAAGTTTGGAAGCTGCCTTAGCTTCATACGCGGCTGGCCACAGTGACACGATTTGGACACAGAGTACAGCACAGGATGAGAGGAATTGTTAGTGTTATTTCGCGAACTCAAAGAGAGGGTTTCAATACACCGCTTTCAGCACTAAGTTGACATTTTGCTGGTGAGGGCCTGTGTGTGGGGGGGGGGGGGGAAGAGGGGGAAGAACAACAGCACAGTGCAAAGAACTACATAAGAACTGAAAAAAAAAACAAACAAGGAATCAGTCAATACAATAAGCAGCACCTTTATTCGATTCGCAAAACAACTGACTGAAACCGGTACTCTACGACGAAACGCCAGATTTGTCTTTCACGCGATGACAATGGAATGTATAGGCTTTCATCGTTTACTGTCGTGTCTCACTGTGGTCGGTACTGGCCATAAGATAACAAACGTTACGCCCTATAACTTGTTGGCCCCATTCGTCGGGCAATCCAGGGCTGATAGATAGAATTCGCATTACGAACCAACGAAGACTGATATCCAGGAGATAAGAACATGGTAGGTCTGCTAAGCAAAACCTACGTCAGCTCTAGTTCCTCAAACTACTTTTAGCTCAAGCACAACAGACATCAACTCAACATATTTCCACAACACAAAAACAGAACTACTTACTGTGCTCATAAATCCTGCTGGAACATCAAGCTCCACTGTGCGAATGTATTGCACCAAACAGCAAAAAATGAACCAGCATCACAGCGAACAAGAAAGCATTCACGCATTCAAATTAATCAAAAGCTTAAACACAGCAAATAGCCTTTTGTTAACGATGACCAATTTGATGTATGTAACACCTCTTATGTTTAATGGTAGAAACAAATTGATGTATGAGAGATACAGCGAATAGACCTGATGATCTACATTCAGTTCCTCGAACGAGTCCATCTATTGGTAGCACGACCGTATTTCCCAACGATGGATCAAAAGCGAGGAATCAGATACACCAGCTATCTGGAATTTCCCATGGAACACAGCTGTCCTAATCTTTGCCGAGGTGCTGACATCGGTAGGAAGTGCTTCCTCATTGACCAACCTCAAGGTTCAAACCTGAAATGTGGAACGCCTGAATTTTCACTTTCTTTTGCTTCACATATTGACACTTCACCCAAAGACAACCGGTTCTTCATGTATAACTTTTCTCACAACTTGCCATCACTTTCATTCCACGTTCCATATGTTATATATTACAGCTTGCTGCGGATGAAGGGGCGTGTAAGGCGAGATATATTCGAAGCGCTGCCCACCGCGGTCCTCCAGTTGCTGAAGCGAGCATCTGACAAGACTGTTCATATAGTTCGCAACAGTCGTCTCCACCAGCGGCTGTCACTTACTCGCCTCAACAACTAGTAGAGAACGGGTTTGGCGGTGCGTTAAATTCACATTGACTGTCACGCCCCTTTGTCAGCAGCGAACTAGAGAATAATTTTCAATGCTACATGTAAACTAGGCATTTCGCTCCCCATTAGATGTATGACATTTTTTTTCCAAGCAACGACCATATGCAGTGCGAACGGGATCACATAATGCTAAACCTTTCCGGTTTTGGAAAGGTATTTCTGCTGGTATTGAAGAAAGGGAATTCCTTCTTTCTCTAGTAGTAGGATAAGAGACTGAGTTCTTGGAGAAATAACAAAGCTGCCATGAATACGAAAGGATCCGAAACTTCAAGAACCCACACTGCCATTCATTTTTGATCGATTTCTCATGGAAAGGTCCAATCCAACCTTTGCATAGCCTGGGGATTACTTTCGAGATTTACTCGTGAGGATACAGACCTTTCCTCAGCTCCGTAGGCGACCTAATCCCCACTTGCGCCAACATCGCGCTAAAACTTAGTACCGGTTCATGGGATAAATATTGCAAGTCGGGTTGTTATAAAAGCACTGCATGTTCTGAGAGGAAGCGGAGGAAATCCGTTTATGAAATTCTACTTTTCTACACTAAAGAAAAAAGGACCAAGAATGGAGATGTGATCATTGCTGTGTCCCTGCATATACTACAAATAATCTTTGCTTGATGAAAGTAAGCTCCACTGACTGATGAAAAATAACGTTACGTTTCTGAGCAAAATATAGCATATGCAAATTTGAAACGCATTGGTTACCTTGCATTATGACAAGTGACACAAGCGCTTCTTCCCCACTTTTCATGTTTTCCATGACCGCAGAATTATGCGTAAGGTGAGTACTGCACGACTTCATTTTCTTTAAAGTTATATCGAGGGTGTCCCCACCTAGAAAGCGAGGCAGCCACGTGGTATACTGCGAGAGAAATGCAACGCGTTACACTCGTCGCGCTGTGCACCGTGCAGCAAAGGGGGCATATCAGCTGCAACCCTGGAGCATGGAACATTTATCCTATTAATGTATGCAGGAATGTCTTGTCTCGTGTCCACTGCCTCTAACACTACTCAAAACCCCTGCAGAATACCACTTAAGAAACTATTCTTACCATGATACTTCCACCGGAGACGACAGTAATCTGGATGCCAACCTTACGGAGTAGCGTTCGACTGATGGAAAGCACGTACATTTCCTGAAGTACTTCATGTAAAAAAGTGTACCTGATCGTCACCGACAGTGGAGCAGAACGTTGGAAAACTCTCTACAGAAAATGTATACGTATCGAGTGATCCCTGACCCTCTAACTCTCCAAAAAACTAGTTGGCGGAGACAGTCGACACTTACTTTGGTTTCTCTAATCCATCCTTGGCTTCCACAGAGGAAGCCAAAACTTTTTTTTTCAAAAACCACGCTTTCTCGCAGTCATTTGATCGGAAACAGCCCTGAAATAACAAAAATAAATACAAATAGCGACAGGCACAACAAAAAGGGATACGAAAGGCAAGTTTACATGATAGTTGTTGCAGGTTGGTTCACAGGTTATCACAATGTGCCATTTTCTTATGTACAGTAGCAAAAAAACTGTAGCAAGCTCGAGTCGTCCGCTTTTCAGTTATTCTGTCAGACTTTTATGAGCTGCACATGAAAAATTTGGGCACTATCAAACTACTCCTACATCAGTCTCAAGAAAAAATAGGCTAGTTTTTACCGACTTTTCCCTCACGAATATGAATATCACATCCGCTCGGTCTGAAACTGCCTGGGACCGCTCCAAAGAACTCTCGGTCAACAAAACTGATGGAACTTATGCACGGGGTTAATCGACAATCTGATCACAAATATGACGTTCATTACTGACGTCGGCGCTAATGGAGACACTATTATCATCAATCACTGAAGCTGAGCCGGCCTGAAGGGGACCACCCCTTCGCAGAATGCTGAATGGCGCTGGACTCAAGAAATAAATGCCATATTTGTGAACAGGGCCTCAAATAGCCCTATTGCGCAAGTTTTTATCGATTTTGGAGAAAAAGTGGGGCGCCACATTGGCGCTTGTGGGCGCTAAATGAATGTCATTTTCGTGATCAGGATATCGAACAACATCTACAGCCAGAGTTTCAACGAAAACACTTTTTGAGTTTCTAGGGTAGGAACAGTTCAGAAGTGCCAAATGTTGTCTTCGCAATCTACCCCGCTCTTTGCTCCGCCTACCAGTCTAGAGGCTACAAAAGGGCGGCGTCCGCAGTATCTTCGCTTCTAAGCGGACTGCATAAAGTTGGATTCAAAAAAGACACTGAGAACGCAGTTAGAAAGGGGGTTATGTTTTTCGTACTCTGCTCGTTATTTACCTTGTCATTACTGGGTTTGTAGGCTCACCTAAAGGAAGGCTGGTGATGCTTTTAGGAATTCCATTAGTAGCTCACTCACTCTAGCCAACAAAAAAGCTGCAAAATCTCTTGAAACGTAATTCTACAATTCTAAACGGACGCCGGAAGGGTATATGCAGTGGAAATGAAATTCGCTCAGGCACAAATCGCATTGGAAATCACAACGATGGAGGTCGTAAGCAGAAGAGCCAGTCAGCACCAAAGTGATTATGAGGAAGGCAGCTGAAGTTTCGGTACATTCCCCTAGGACCCACTCATCTCCCCACATGGGCGAAAGCCAAAGCCCTAAAGCTCACGGAGCCAACTCAACTGCTAATCTAGTCCGTTCCCATTCAGTGAAAGGTTTTTCCTTAGCAACCCTCCTTTGACCGTTCCAGCTGCCTATCAAGTAGCGTTCAAGCGCAACTGGCCACAGTCACGCGATTTTGACGCAGAGTACAGCGTAGGATGTGAAGAAGGTTAGTGCAATTTTGAACCGCCTCCTCTCCCGCCACCTCAAAAAGGGGTCCCGACACAACCGCCCCCAGCACTAACTTTATGTTTTGGTGGCGAGAGGGGGGGGGGAAATTACAAGGCGAAAATAATACCATAGAAACTCAAAACAACAAAGAACCAATAAATATAACACCCACCTGTAGGTTGCAAAACAACCAATTAACCAGTACACTACGACAAAACGTCGGTTGTGTCTTTCACGCAATAACAAATGAATAGTCTTTATCTTTTCAGTCGTCTCGCACAATGGTCAGCACTGACAATAACTTAACAATCTTTACGTTACCTACAACTTGATGGGCCCCAATCGTCGAGAAATCCAAAGCTAATACTTGTTGGTACTCTAATACCCATGACGAGCACCATAGCGTAAGCAGAACAGACATGAACAAAACATCATACAAAATACGAAATTCTTCGCGTCCATAGATTCCGCTGGATCATTAAGCTCCACTATGTACGTATGTATTACACCATAGAGAAAGAAATGATCCAGCATCACAGCGAACAAAATTAATCAAAATCAGTTTAATCAAAACGATGAAATAAGCAAATAGCCTTTCGTTAACGATGGCCAATTTGATCTGCCTATGGATAGACCAGCTACCTGGAATTCCCATGGAGCACAGCTGGTCCTAATCACTGCCGAGGTGCTGACATCGGAAGAAGTGCTTCCCATTAACCAACTCAAGGTTCAAACCTGAAATGTGGAACGCCTGGATTTTCGCTACATTTTGATTCACACTTTGACAGTTTTACCAATATAAAAACGTACACCAGGGACCAAAAATCAATCGGTGACCGCTTTCTCATGCATAACTTCTCTCACACCTTGCAATCACTTTCGTTAGAAAGTTCTATGCTATATAGTCTAGCTCGCTGCTGACAAACGGGCGTGTCAGGCGGGATGAAACTGGCGCGGTGCCAACCCCGGTTTCTATATTGCTGAAGCGAGCATATGACAAGACTATCATATAATTCGCGTCAGTCGTTTCCACCAGCGACTGTCGCTTACCCGCCTCAACAACTGTCAGAGAACGGGTTTGGGGGCGTGGTACACTCACACTGACCGGCACGCCCTTTCGTCACCAGCGAACTAGAGTATAACTCTCAATGTTGCAAATAAACTAAGCATTTCTCTTCCCATAAGGTGGATAGCATTTATTTTTTTTCTCCGATAACGTCCTTCTGCAGTGCGAACGGGGGACCTTATCAACGCTGTCTTTCAGCATTTTGAAAGGTATTTGTACTGGTATTGAAAAAAGGAAATTACTTCTTCCTCTAGAGATATGATAAGAAACTGAGCCCCCCTGAGAACTAACAAAGCTGCCATGAATATGAAAGGTATATTTCTCACAAAAAAAAGCTTCACCCAACCTTTTCATAGCCTGAGGATTACCGCCGAGATCAACTCGTCAGAATATAGTCAATTTAGCTCCATAGGCGATCTGAACCCCACTTGCGTCGACATCGCGGTAAAACTCACTACCAGTTGGTGGACTAAATATTATACGGCGGGATGTTGTAAAAGCACTGGCATGTGCTAAGAGGAAGTGGGGGAAATCCGTTCAAAAAGTTTTACCCTTCTACAGTAATGAAAGAAGTACCAAGAATGGAGAAATGATCATTGTTGTGGCCGTGCATATGCTGCAAATAATCGTTGCTAAATAAGGAAGTAAGTCCACTAGCTCATAAAAAGGTATGTTCCGTTTCTTCGCAAAATATAGCATATGCAAATTTGAAACGGATTGGTTACCTCGCTTTATCACAAATGACACAACTGCTCTTTCCCCTCTTTTTTTGTTTTCCATTAACAGAGTAAAATAATTCGTAAGGCGGGGGCAGGTATGACTTCTTTTTTTTGCAGTCATCTCGAGGGTGTCTCCCACCTAAAAAGCGAGGCAGCTCAAAAGGTAGAGGAGCGAGAAATGCAAGGCGCTGCACTCGTCGCGCTGCGCACCGAGCAGCAAAGAGCGCGTACGAACTGCTACTGGTCAGCCCTGGAGCATGGAATCGGGCAGTGAACATCTATCCCATCAATGTATGGAGGACTGTCTTCTCGTGTCCACTGCCTCTAACACTACTCAAAACCCCTGCAGAATACCACTTAAGAAACTATTCTTACCGCAGTACTTCCATCGCAGACTGCAGTAATCTCACTGCCAACGTACGGAGCAGCTTCGACTGAGGAGGACGAATATTTCCTGAATACTTCATGAAAAAAGGTGGACCAGTTTGTACAGTGGGACTTTCGTATATTGCGGCAGTGGAAAATCGCAGAAATGAAGAAAAATCTAGAAAAGAATGTGTATTCTGGCTCTCGCAACTTTCGAACCACTAGTTGGGCAGAGGCAGCCAATACTACCTACATTAATCATCACTGGAGTCGGGGCGTGTCAGCGAGTGATGGTTTTGGCGCAGCACCAGCACATTTCCATCGATGTTGCAGCTTCGCACACTCAACGGGTGCAGGGGCTGATGATGCGTCAAAACCCACTCGCCTCTGGCACGTCTCAACTGACCTCAGCGATGATGACTAATCTTTTTCACAGATTTTCCAATGCTCCAGTGTCGCACGACATGACATGATCTATCGAAAGAACTAACTGGGTATCCCACTCCGAGTTACGGTAAGCTGATTTTTCTAAAAAATCTTTCTTCTTTTCACATCATTTGACGGGCCTCTTCGCCTTAAATAACAACTAGCAGGCACAACAGAAAGAATGACGAAAGACAAGCTTGCATTACGTGTATTGACACGGATGTCCACGATGTGCCATTTCATTCATGTATAGTAACGAAAAAAACTTGGAGAAAGCTCGAGTCGCTCGCTTTTCAACGATCTTATCACTTTTTTGAACTACACATGGAAATTGGTCTTCTCAGTTCACCCCGCTCTTTGCTCGCCTACCAGTCCGGAGGCTACAAAGGGCGGCGTTCGCAGTATCGTCGCTTGTAAGCGGACCGCAGCAAGTGGGACCCAAAAAAGACACTAAGAAATCGCAGTGAGAAAGGGGGTTAGGTTCTGCCGGTCGTGCTCTGCTCTACTTTGCTATTAGTGAAGTGCAGCCCGCCCAAGGGAAGGTGAGGCAATAATTTTAGAGGTAAGATCTCTACGCTGTTTTCGTGCACAATAGTCGCCAAATCGTGAACTGTCTTGTTAGATGCTGATCACATTCAACTTGAGGTGTACTATTATCGCTATGAAATGCGTGCTAAGGTCGTGCACCAGCTACAGGTATGTAACCGAGCATTTCAATCGTGCCACGGCAAGGGAGCTGCGCAATCCTTAGTAAAATATCGCTCAAGAACTGGAAAACTTAGCGTTCCTGTGTCATCCACTGAGGCTACATAAAAGTATTGTTATGCTAATTAAAAAATCGTATTTCTAAAAAAACTAAACGGTAATCACAACGGTTTAAATCGAAATTCACTTAAGGCACCTAGTCACTGTGGAAATCACAACGAGGAAGGTCGTAAGGACAACACCTAGTCAGCACTTAACAGTAATCGATCGCAAGAGAGGTGAATTTGGACATATCCCCGTAACCCTCAGATCCCATCACATGGCTAGATGCCAAATCTGGAAAGCTAATTAAAAGCTCAATTTTTGGTCTGATCCCATTTAGTCAAGAAGTTTCCGTGACGACCTTCTTTAGATCGTTCCACCTGCCCATCGTTAAAGCGCGTTTGGTCACAGTCGCACGATTTCCGCATGGAGTGGAGGGCATATGAAAGGAACGGCACGCCATTTTGAACACCACCTCTTTAAAAAAAGTGGGTCTCGACATGACCGCCTCCATGGGGCCGGGTGGGGAAACGACAACATGAGCCAATATATTAATCAACACAAAAAAAACAACGAACTAATTGATACAAAAAAGCAACACCCACCAGTAACGTTGCAAAACAATTGAATTAAACCGGTACTTCGCGACAGAACGTCAGTTTTGTCTTCCATGTGAGGTGTAGGCTTTATCGTTTACTGGCGTGTCGCACTCTGGATAAGGCATTGTTCACAGTCGCCAGGCCCTGACGAAACGGCGGTTGGGAGAAAAGCAATAAATAGTCATCGATCGGAGAATCGCCCAACCGTCCAACCGCCCAACCCGCGGTTGGGCGGTTGGGCGAAAAGCAGTAGATGTGTATCGATTTCGCTGGCGAAAAACGCCACCGCGATGGAGCTAGCGTTTTGTCGAAGGCGAAAAACGTCGCGGTTTGGCGAAACGCCCGTCGATACGTACCAAAACCCTTTCGCCCAACCGCCAGGCTCTTCGCCCAACCGCCAGTCGATATGTATCGAAAGCTTTTCGCCGAACCGCCGCGTTTCAGAGAAACGCTGGACCGCAGAGTGTGAACAATGCCTAAAACCGACCATACTACACCAATCACTACGTATAATGGGTACAAACAGCTGGCCCAAGTTGCTGGGTAACCTAGGGCTAACTCCGGACAAAACCATGACAAACCTACATACATCACATAAGAACATAACAGTCTTTCTAATCAAAAACTGCGTCTGCTCAGATCCTTGAAATACTCTTAGGGTACATCAAGCTCTTCCTATGTAAGTGCACCACAGAGTAAGGAATCGACACATAGAATTCAATGAGGTTTCATGAGATGAGTGATGGGTAAGGAATAAAACAGAAGCGACGCTGAGGTCTGACAATAAATTGGGTGAACAAGAACATACACACATTATAACTTATTTGTACTGCACAGTACTGATTATAGTGCAGTGCCAACGATTAGCTACCAGCCAGTACGAAAATTTAAGAGTCGGAGCAGGACATTGCCGGACGAAAACCACAACCCAAGTGGCCGGAATTCCATGTCTGCTGATCCTCTCTGTTGTCGTGGTGCTATGTGTCGTGAGCTGGAATACAGAGTAGCATAATGCTCAATCGTCAACCTGCCCAAGCAACGCTTTTCCAAAATAAAACCAGCGTGAAGAGCTTAGACTCGCTATTTCCGCTACTGCGCTGAAGGCTCTGAGTCATTTGCAACATAAGATCCAAGAAAAGCCAATGGAAGAGACCAGTTAGTGTTTTTGGTGGTTTGCCCATTCAGCGCACAACAGGGAATGGAGGAGACCCCTTTAAGGGAGGACTCAATAGACAGAATCGTGGAAAATCTTTTGCGCACCACGCGGAACAGCCGTGACACCCACAGCTATCTATACCCTGCTGGGAGGACTAACTACTGAGGGGCAGATGAGCAGAATGAGTTGGATGTTTTCCTACCGTCCACTCCTACATGCAAAAGGCGGCGATCAGGTAGAACTCGCGATGAGCCAGCTGAAAGTTTGATTATAACGGGACTAGAAACAGAAATGTATGTGCAAGTTGACCTATTCATAAAAAAAAACAGAAACCATTGAGAGCGCTTCAAATAAGGCTCCAGTTGTGCAAACAAGTGATAAAAAATGTGGTTATTGAGCGACAGTCTAGAGAAAGCATCGAGAGAGTATGCAAACGTGCAAGAGAGCTGATAGAACATCCCAGCCTAAGTAAAAGGTGAAACCATCTCCTCCCTTATGTCCAGTAGGTAGTCTTCAGTTTCCAGTTAGTAGCCCCTATGAGGACGAAAAAAATATTACAAGTTGGATTTTTTTCATTTATCAAAGCGAGCGGTCCAAGTAATAGCGTTGGGGCGCGCTCTGACGCATACCGACGATCGCGCCGATAGCCGCTGTTGTGGCGAAGTACGAACGCTGCCGGCGATAGCGTGACTTCACGGCTGATTTCACTATAGATTTCATGCTGCTTGCACACTTTGGATTGTTTAACCGCCCTAAGGCGCGTGACTTAACAAAAGAACAGTAAGATGGAACGCTAGGAACAAGTT